TAACATTTTTTGGAGTGGGAAAAAACGGAGAATCCCGGAGTAAACCCTGACTTGCACCACCAGTTTTTGGCAGTGGACTAACTGAACCATCCCAGAGTAAAGCCATGCATTGGGAATAAACTAAAAGAATAGTTTATTACTAAGCACAGAGAAAGTAGAAGGATGGGGATGGTCGATGGTGTGGCAGCTGTTCTCGGATGTCACTTCCTACGACAGCAGGTGAACACGTTGAAAACTCTTCTGCAGAATTTTCTAAAATTTCTGAAGACTTTTCTCCGAGAATGTGGAGCAGCTACGTCTGTGGTGCTTTCTGCTAAGTCTTCCTGCTGTTGCTCAGATGTAACAGAGAGGTCATGTGAAATTTGAATGGAAGGTGTCTCCATAACAGGATCAGAATGCAAGTTGTTTGAGGTATTACAGCTCGTGGATGGCTCTTCTGCTCCTCTGGGTTGGCACTGTGACATTATTTCTAATGCCTGTTCCACATAAGAGTCGTCGCTGGTGATTGGAAGATGCTCCATTGTGATAAAATTGTGTGTTATTGCATCTGCAGGGAGAATTCGGTCTGCAGGATTCACAGCTAGCATCTTTTTGAGCAGGTCTATGAATTCTTTTCTGTCCTGTAATTCAAGAGGATCGTTACAGGGTGTTATTTCTATCAAGTCATCCAAAGATCGCAAATTGAGACAATAATCAGTTGCTTCAATTTTCTCCCCAGAGTCCTCTTCATATTGTGTCGCGGTTTTAAGTTGCCAGACACTTTCAGAGTCAGATTGCTCTTGTGTAAAGTACTGTCTGACTCGACACCCACTGTCAAGGATATTGCTATCGGGCTGACCAAGGAGCTCTACAATCGTTTTCACGACTGTGTATTCTGAGTTGCCCGGAAACAAATACTGACCAGAATAAAGTTCAACCAAAACACATGCAAGACTCCACATGTCAACTCCCTCATTTGGCTGAAGTCCCAGAAAGACTTCTGGGGCCCTGTTCGCTACAACCTGAAATAAATCGTACTTTGATAATTCATATGTTGGAATACAAAGTCCAAAGTCAATCAACTTAACTCTAAAGGGTGTAGAGTTCTGATTAACTGTCATCAGGTTGTCAGTTTTAATGTCAGTATGGGTCAATCCTAAGTGTTTCAATGTGCTGAGAGAAACAAACATTTGTTGGGCGATTGCTCTAATTTCAGACAACTTGAGAGGTGACCACTTCCTTTGATTCATGAAATCAAACAGACTTTCGTCAAGAAGCTCAAAAGTGAGGCAAAAGCAGTTCTGACACATAAACCAGTCAAAGAAGTTCATAATGTTGATTTTATCAGCATTAAAGTTTTGGAGTTTTAACATTGCTGCAATCTCCATTTTAGCTGAACTGCTGTCTTCTGCTGAAATAACTTTTAGAGCAACGGTCTGGCCTGTGCCCTCTTTAGTGCATTTAGCCACTAAACCAAATGTTCCTTGTCCAAGGATTTTCTCTACACGGTAAACGTTAGAGTTGCCACAAATGGTTACACCTTCTGCTATTTCTTTTATCAGATTTCTTTGATCGGTGTTTGATTCAGAAGAATTACTGACGTCAGCAGAGTTTGACTGATGGCTCCAATTTGAATGAACTGAAGAAATTTGACACCTTTCTGAAGTTCCTGATTTGCTGCCAGACATTTCACCATCCTCTTCGTCAATGAAACCATGATTTGAATAAGCGTGGTGGTTCATTGTCATAAATTGGTGGTTTAATGCATCTTTAGTGCACATACGGTCCGCTGGATTAATCTGCAGCATCTTCTGGAGGAAGTCTTTAAACGCTTCGATTTCATGAGAATCTTCCACGTCGTCTGATGACATTTCTAAAAGGCTGTCGAGAGACTCTATTTCATCCAAATCGGTGGCACTCTCTGGAACGATTCTTCCGGTCGCTTTTGCGTATTCAGCGAGAGTCTTCAATTTCCACGTGCTTTTCCAAATGTCTTGCTCTTTGTGCTTGTAGCATGTAAAATAACGTCCGACACCACATCCTGCTTCCAAAACGTGATTGTCTGGCATGCCGTTTAACTTTACAATAGCTTTTATGTAGCTATACTCACAAGCTGTAGGGTAAAATGGTTTACCAGCAAAGACTGAAGCCAGCGTGCAAGCTATGCTCCATACATGAAAATTTTCACCCAGAGGAACGTCAAAGAAAACTTCCGGCGGAGTGAAACCGCAGGTCTGAGGGAGGTCTTTCTCTGACAGTT